CCCTCATTTTCACCAGCTTTCCTTAAAGTCAAACAGCTGTCACAATTCATGATGGTTTCACAGGAATGGTAATCCTGTTTTTCCTCTGCAGTCTCTGAGAACATTTTCTCCAGGCGAATAAACGTAAGTCACCTTATGACAAAAGAATAAGCCAATCCTTACATTGTGAACGGTAAATATAACTTAACAATTTGTATTTAATGCAAGATTCACAGAACAGAGCTAAAAACTGAAAAATTCTACTAACCAGAAGTCTACAGTGAAGAGATATTGGAAGTCTTGTGAGCAGAGCTGCTTATGTATTTCTATAAGGTTCCCCCCAGCAAACAGTATAGAAAAATCTTGATTTCACATGTTGGTTTCAAGTGGGAATGGTTAGAACTAATTTTAGAGTAGCATGTGAGGGCACTGCACTGTTGTATTGATGCCCAAAACTTTTGGCACCTTAAAGAGCCATCCTTAAAGAGCTCTGCCTAACCAACACACTAACAGGATGAGGCCTATAAAATATGAGCGTGATGTGAATTCCCTCTGTTTTCATATTTCCTGGGAATTATGTGGATTTAATCTGTTTTCTATCTGTTTCATTCTGTTTTAGCTCTTTCTTTAGTCTTCTGTTCTGTTCAGCCTTCTCATTCCTGGGATCCCAATCAGCTGCCTTAAAAGTTAATCTTTTCTCTTTAGCCTATTCTTGTCATGATTACTAAGCATTTTGTGCCATTGGTATATGAAAGTGTCATATGAAAATAAAGCCTTTTGTATTAAACATTTAACAGATTTTTTTTATAGTCCTGCTTTCCTAAAGCTAAATCTTATCTAGACAAAAAAGGCTAAGTGGAAAGATAACTGAAGGAACAAAGTCTTTTTCGGTTTGGAATGCATATCATCTGGCATGCTTTGTTCCAGGAAGCACTTGAAATCCGCTTCTTAGCTTGTCATCAAGGAAGCAGCCTGTTCACATACTTGGAATAGCTATGATTATCCCCTGCAAAGTTGGGCTTGTTTGATCTTACTAGGGCTAGTCTCGATATTTTATTACGCAGTTGGCGATTGCCACAATAAAGTAAAAGAAGATAAATCCCCTGCAGTTTTTCTAGTTAGCTAGCACCTGGTTGCAGAAAGTTATTGGTTCAAAAATCAGCTACTAATCTTATTGAAAGATGCATTTGCGCACACAGGTCTCTGAAGTTTGTCCAGTGATGCCCCTCTGCCTTCTCATTCATGTTTTTAGTCTTCATAATTACTTTCTCTCACTGTAGTATGATATTTATTTATCAGTAAGAAGGCCAATGGAATACTGAATCTAAAGACCTTTTCTAAAATAGTTCCATATCAATTTATTTTCTCCCACTTTGTTATTTAACTTGTAAGCAACGTAGTGACACTTTACACTCATTGCATGTTTTTTTTTTAAAGGTCTTATGAACAAGTTCCTGGCCACATCAACACTTTTGTGCTTGCATATCCATTGTTTCATATGCAAGTTATAGTGTCCAGTGGCTGCAGTGTGTCCCTATCTCAATTTTTTTGTGTGGCTTTCAGTTTTTTTCAGCAATGGTCAGATTCTGCAAGAGTCTTGAAATGTGTTAAGCGCAAGATGATTGACTGTTCTTCAGTTCAGCTGTCTTCCCTCACTGATCTGCTTAAAAACAAAAGCCTTGACAGGCATATTCCAGATTCTTTTAAGTGAAACGTTTCATATAGGATAAATTGTTAATAGTACTGTGTAGAGAACTTCATTCCTCAATCCCTCCTCCCTTCCATTAAAAAGTCAAGGGAGAAAAACTTGAAGTTACTGCAGTCTAGGTTGTGGCTGGCCTCTGAAAATCAAGGTCAGGACCTTGAATTGATTGTCAGCACTTGTGTAATGGCTTGTATGAAATAAATAAAACAAAAAACATTTCCTGTGGAAACATCTATATCCCTATCTGTATGTGTCTGCCTGCCTGTGTGCTTCAAGCCCATAAACTTTTCAACTGTTAAATTTGCTGGCTGGTTCAGACAAGAATGACAGAAAATTAAAACCCCCAAAAAGAGAAGTTGGGTAAATAAAGAGGTTGTGTGTGTCCCATCTTTGGCATACTGCAGACTTTTACAGCTGTTGCAGTTGCTGGAAAAGCTTGGTTGTGTGAGCCCATAAGCCACAAAAAAAAAATTTATAGGAAATCCATGTGCTTACAGAATGATACCTCTGGTAGGGGGCACTGGAAAGATTGCAGTCTAAACAGGAAGTTTAGCGTACAGGAACTGGCATGTGCCGTTGAAATGTTCCTCCTCAAGCAAGATACAATCTTATCAAGCAATTTAGCATTCATGTGACTGAAAGACCTGTAAGCCATTGTTGTTATTCAAGTTGTCCCTGTACTTGTGTAATCACCCTGGCAATTGCAAATGGTACCACTGGAGAATATAATACCTTGCAACCTTTTAATCAAAACTTGCAGGGTACTCTATCCATTATAGCGTAGTTGGGCAGACAGGATATCACGTTAATGTTTCCACTGGTCTTTTAAGTCTTTTAATGTCAGGTAAAAAGGTTTTGGGAATCATTGTCAAGCATGATTCGAATGGCATGTTCATAGGTTGGGGGGGAAAAAGGTAACATTTAAAGAAACTGTGGAAAGAAGTAAATTTAGGCACCAAAGAAATGATCATTGGAGTAGATTGTTTGCAAATTACATCCAGCTTCTTATAACTTGAAACATTAGCTGCATATAGATAAAGTCTGTAGGTCCCAAAATGGATGGAGAAGTACCATAAAATCATAAAATTAATGCATGACTTGCTTTTTCTTGTCATCATATATGGTTGCTTAATTATTCTGATTTTGTTTACATGAAAGGTATTGAAACACAGGCAATGCTTGCTGCGACTGCCATGAGCATTCAAAGAGAAATCTGACCAACTGCAGACACCTTGCAGTGTCATAATACCTCTTTGTTTACTCGCACCAATACTATCTCATTTTTGTCTTTTTCCTTAGGTTGTTTATTATTATTAATGATCTTTTGCTCTGGTTTTGTTGTTTATGTCTGTTTCAACCTCTTATTGAACTGGTTTCATTGTTCTCTTTTATATTTTCTGCTTAATTCCTCTCAAAATAGGGATTATTGTCTCAGGTGTACAGCCTTAACCACTGTGCATGTTGCAGTCAGCTGCTATACTCAGGTGCACATGAGAGGTTCAAGAAATGTTACCTCTAGTCCTATTGTTATTAGAGTTGGTCAATGTATGTCACCAAGGAAGCAGCAGTAACTGGTTTTAGCTCATACCAGGGCAGTTTTTGCAATTTTCTATTCCCAATTCAGCTGTATATTACATTATGTTACTTTCTTTGCTTTCCTAATCCAAGTAACTGAAAGTATTATAATCCTTAAAATGTGATGTCAGATATGTTTGAGGCTTTTTTCTGTACCTGGCAGATTAAAAACTGTCAGCTGCAGGGATTTACCTTTTGTTTTGCTACTGCTGTTTTTGTGGTGATTATGTCTAAATGCGTCTCTAATAGTAACAATGACAATTTCTCTTCAAAAAATCGTGGCAGTTCTTTTAAGTGTCTCTAAAATGTAGTAAGACGTTCTGAAAATATACCTTGTTTTCTGACACCTTAAATGGAATCTAAAGCCAACAGAAAACCTAGTGCCACGTGCCCATGTTCACCCCTTTAAAAATAGGCATTTCTTATTGCTATGAGGTTTTTAGTTTTTTGAATGAACTTGGAAAGAGAATGTACAAACGCGGGCGGCAATTGTAGATTAGCAGTTTTTCCTTTCTCCGCTTGACTAAGCATAGTTGCGGCAGCTTGTGTAAACTTCAAAGAACAACAAACAAATGACTAATCTGGGGAATAAAAACCATCAACTAGTGATTTTGTAAAAATTATTCTACACAAAAATGAGCTCTCCAGGGCATGCATGCTGTGGGCGGTTATGTTCATGTATTTCTTAGAATGCTGATTTTGCCATTTCTGGACATTCTTCCCATGAGAGTCTTGAACATTTAACTAGTGTCATATGAGAAAAATGCATGATATCATCTAGAACGTAGATAGTACCTGGTTGGTAAATCTCATGGGATAAAGAACTTGTTATCTAAAGTCTGTTCTAGGCCAAGGAGAAGAATTCTGATGTTACCCTGTGTGAGGAACATTTTCACACTCTCGTTTCTCAGTGCATGCACTGTACATACAAGATCTTTCTAAGACGACAAATACATTACCCATATAATAACACTGATTAGACAAATACTAATTTATTTGCATTACCCTCAAATACAGTGCTTTGATGCCGACTCAGGAACTGAACAGCGCTGTGCTCCATCAGTGACTGAATGCAAGTAGGAGCACTGAATCTGAACCCTGATGGGAGAAAATACAGCTGTGCAGGAAAATTATCCCCTTGCAGAAACACAGAAGAGCTCATAATACTTAAGACGTAAGTTCTAGTGAAAGCAAAGAAAATGTGTGCTCTTGAAATAGTTTCCATTTAACAGTATGTAGCATGTTTCATTCTGATATGATGTATTGTAGCATATGTATAAAGAATTTTTAAATTAACCAGATAAAACTAAGTGTATACAGTCTATACTGTATCATGAAGCAAAGCGTGAAGAAGTAGATGCATTAGTGACTTCGTGCAGCCTATGTATTTCTGCCGTCCGAACAAAGTCCTTTAAGGCAACCTCTCCCAGGAAGAGGCACTTAGAAACAAAGCACGTTTGTGGGCAATATGTTACAGACGCATCAGATTATGTCCTAGTGTTGTCACTGTGTCAACTGTGTGGATCTTTTATAGATGGGTTTTTCCTGAGCCAAAGTAATATTACTTGTGTAGCATGTGTTTAAGATGTGTGTGTTGGGGGGAATGTTTTCCACAAAAATTGTTACTGGAGGGTAGCTTCAAGAACTTCTTCCTGTCCAGTAAGATAAGTAACCTACAGTGAGTATTTTTAAAGTGTAAGTAGCTATTTATTTCCTTTGTTTTAGCTCTGCCAAAATACACCTCCTCCCCCAGGCATAACACACAGATTGAACACCTTTGCTCTGGAGGTACTCTGCCAACGTAACGGTGAGAGGTAGGCCAAGACTCTGACAGAGATTAATTACGCTGTTCCTTCAAAAAGAATTGAGCAATAAAGTGTAGTTCATTTACAAAAGTAGTACTGAAGTGGCAGAATTGAGGAGAAGCTTTGTGTGCTCACGTATAAAGAGGAAGCCCTTTCTACTGATGGTACCTGCTTTTAGTATGTTTAGCCCATTGAAAGGCAGTTTCATGAATTTGTGTTTCGTCAGGATTGTAAGGTATGGGAAAGGGCGTTGCTGATCTTTGCCCTTTGTCTAGAAGGGAAAGGTTTTCTTTCTTGGAAAAAAGTGAGTCTGAGAGAATTCGTTAAAAGCTGGCCTGCAACCAGGAATTTGCTCTTTCAAATCCTTATTTCTCCTGTTGTTTTCATGCGCATCCAGACATGAAGTGACATTTCTAGATGCTGAGGTGTATTTGGAAAATACACCAAGATACACATTCTTCTTTGTAAAAAGTAGGTTTTTGTTCTTGTATGTTAGCAGGCAGCATATTATTCATAACAAGAGTAAATTTAGTGCAAAGTGTCATCTTTTCAGAATGTAAAATAAGGAGACTGGCTCTAGAGTTAGCATAGCACTGTAACTGTCAACAAACTCAACAGGGGTGCCAACCGCTGTCAGTACAGCTTGTTTTAGATCTAACCACTGAGAGAGGAAAAAGTTGAGACTTCGTTGTCTGTTCTCTGCTTTCTAATTTGATCATAAATAAAAGTAGAAGCCTCATATTAAGGATAAGTATTAGAAATGAAAGTATTTTATCCAAAACTGGGAGGAAATAAAATATAACAATTCCTTGCCCTTTATCTTAACTATTTGCTGAAATATCATTCATCTAAAAGATTAAAAGTATTTTTAGGTGTTCTGTTTAAATACAACTTGACTGAGAGGGAAGTCGTTCTGCTTTTCACTGTGCTTTGATCTTATAACCCAAATTATACTAGCCCTTAGATCGGGTAATACCCAAATCATCTAACAGAAGCTGTAAATTTTATCATCAGTCAGTTACTGTTTGCACTTGCTTAACTGTTAATCTGATAACTAGAATGATCAGACTGGCTTCTTAAATGGAATCTTTTATGAAGAAACCTTTATGAGTAGGAACTGACTTAGTAATTGCCCGCAAATACAATTTCATTACCATCTTGTACATCGTTTACTTCCATGTATGTCTTAATTGCTTGAGTTTAGATTTGATTTAAAAAATCAACATAGAAATAGAAAACAGCTTGAGTTGGGGATGGTTTAGAGAATTTTTTTCCTCTTTTAGAAAAGATTGCATATTTACCTTCTACGACTTTGATTTTTCAGTACTGATAACTTTTTTCATTTCTTTTCTTTTTTAACAATTATATTCAGTTAGCTCATTGAGTTCATTTACTTATCACATTGGAAAATAAAAAGATAAAATATATTTGGAGACTAGAATACAATTTGAAGGCAGATTTTAGTAAAGATAATGTTCTAATTTCTAACTCTTAATAACACAGTAATTGCACATCTAAGATTATAGGGGGAAAGTCAAGAGTTGTTGGGAAGGGGATTAAATAACATTTTTGACTATTTTGAAATGCTAGAATGATAAATTTCATGAAAATATATTGCATTTAATTTTTAATCATTTTAATTGGGAGTTTCAACCAGAAACACTATAACATGTTGTTAAAAGCCTGAAAAAAGAAATAAAGCAACTCTACTCTTGAAAGGTAACAGGAACTTTCAAAACAATCCTCAAAGGCTTAGTGTTCAGATCATGGCCAAAACTGCAAAATAAGAGCAAGTATCATCCTTTTAACACTTGGGAACCTATACAGATGCCTTTGTTCCGTTGAATTAATAAGACAGTATTGCAGAAGAGAGGAAAAAAAATTGTGGTAATTGTTTTACTGTAACTGAAAAGTTGGGCTTTTTACGGTTATTATATTCCTTTTTAAATACTCTCTGAAAACTGTTGCATGATTTAGATACTGTTCTGCCCATCAGAAATTAAATGAGAGAGAGAGAGAGAGAATGTAAGGGATATAGTAAATGTTACGTCATGGTATTATCCTTGATGAAAGATAGTGAAAACACTTGATAGTGAACTATCAATAGAAATTTCAACTGAAGTATAATTGCTATTATATATCAGTAGCATTGACAATAACAAAGACTCTCTTCATTCAGGCTTAGCCATCTCTAGACAGTTCTGCAATCTTAAATTAAAGGGAAGGTTACATTTGGGTGGAAAGAGAGATACCTGATGTTAATGCTGCAAAATAAACTTTTTTGGTGTAAGAGAAAGGAATTCTCAAGGTAATGCAAAGTAAAGTAATGAAGTGGTGAAGTAATATGGCGCACATGAGTTGCAGAGAGGAATTTGTGAGCAGCACAAACCCTGATATGTTTGGTTTCTTCAAAGGTATTTGCAAAGTAAATACTTATAAAATGTGTTAGTTCTTATGAAGGTGTGCAGAATAACCTCTGAGGGTGGTCTAGTAAGCTGGAAACATGCAAACTGCTTCTCATCTTATAGGCTCAGGTAGAGGCAATTGTTTGTGTAAACGTTTTCTTGGACAAGAGTACCTGTGTCTGCATTGTTTTAAAAATGACTTCTTGGTACTACGTGTTTTCCTACTATACCTCCATAGCATCTTTTATAGGGTTAGATGTTTCATAGTGGGCTTTCTGCTGTATTATGTACTTTGAAGGTCCCAGAACACCATTTGTACCTCTGACTGGAAAACTGATGTGAAATGTTTATGGTCATAGGGCAGCCCTTAGGCTAGAACAGACTGAATATGTTAAAAGTTGTATTAGGTTTGGTGCTGTAATTCAGTGGTCTTCATGGTAGCTCTTGGTGCATGAAAAGATAAAAGTCCCCAGGAAAATTTGATTACTTTGAGGTTGTGGGGGAAAAGTAATAACTGTATGTTATCAAAACATGCTACAGTTGCTTTTTCATAGCAATTTGGTAGTTTTCAATAGTTTAATAAAGAGAAAGAGAGTGTATCTGCAAATCTTTCCTTATCCAATGTGCAGATTTTCTCCTCTAGACCCTTCTTTATCCTTCTCTGAAGTACTATTTTGTTTTTTGCATCACACTTTTCAGCCCAGTCATCTCTGTTCGTTAGGAAGAAATGATGGAGGAGATAACTGGGTGGTGTTTACGTGCCAGTGAGCTCTATATGTCTACTGCTTTCAGACCTGCTGTGGAAATTGATTGTTTAACTACCAGAAACTGGGACATGTGGACACAGTGGGCAGTCATCAGAGACTGGGTAGATGGAAAAGAAATAATGCTCAGAGGTTGTGGAAAACAATTACTAAATATGGCAAACACTTTATTGGTTGCTTTCATAGGTGTTTGTCAGCCTTGTGTGAACAGCATGGTAAGGTTTTGACTAGATTCACAACCGCTAGCTATTAGAGGATCAAATAATAGCTGTGTCCAAAACAGCATTTTTCTGCCTTCCCTCAAATATGAGATTCTGACTGTTCTGTGTATCTGACTATTGTGATTCATGTCACCTTCATTCTGTCACCCTAAAATTAAATTGTCACAAATTAATCCACTGTATCATCTATATATGTTCAGAAAGAGAAACTAATTCAGAAAGAATAACTGCAACATTACCAGGTTGAACTTACTATAAAAGCATGACTTTAGAGGCCCATGTTGTTTGTATCTTGCGTGTATAGATGTATATGGAGTTGAAAGTGGGTAGCTTTAGATCTACCGTTAAAATTGATATATATATTTGCACACTTGCCTACACTAGTCTGAATCATCTGAAGGAGTTCCATCTTTAATATGAAAAAATAGGGTATTTTTCATGTCTGTTTGTATAGTATCAAATAGAAAGATAGCTGCACAGAATGTAGCTGTGCTGCGTTATGCCTTTAAAACTGCGGTAACATTGAATGCCAACATTTCAATAAGCATAAGAGACCAAGTCCTAAACAAATGAGAACACAGAATCGAAAGAAATCTCTTAAATTACCCGTTATCATCTGCAGTTATGCCGTATAATATTAGATGATTTGCCTTGTTATTCTAATTCAGAGGTTATTCCAGAACTTCAGTGTTCTACTGGCTAGAAAACTTATTTTCAGTCTAAACTTATTGATGTCTAGTTAATAGTTCTTTGTTCTAGCGTTAATATTACCTTTTCCCACTCCCTCTTATTTATCTTCCTGAAGCACATCTTTTCTCTATTTTAACTCTGGGAAGCTAAAGCCCACTCTATTTCTGCAATATTTTCTTATTTTTCATTTCAGCTTTTGCATACTCTGTCTAGTGGCAGTACAGAAATACTAAAGGCATATTTTTATAGTGATTTCTTCTAATAATAGTAGTAAAATCTAGCCTTCAGTGAGGGAGAAGGGAATTTAATTCAGATTTCATTTATTAGGGTGCGTTTTCTTCTCTCCATCAAAACTCTAAATTCAGATGAATTAAAGAATGCATGAAGACAGATTGGTATAAGGCAATTGTTAGCTCATATATCCTTGAACTTAATGGTAGCCAGCATTTCCAGTAATGGGGACGAGGGAGGAGAAGGAAGCTGAGGCCTTTAAAACAAATGATAGTTACTGAAATTTGCCCATGAAAGCCATAGAAAGCACTGAATGAAACTGCAGATTTTTTTTTTTTTTTTTTTGTGCATTATAGCATCCCCTACATCCTGGCCATAGAATCACAGAATCATTTAGGTTGGAAGGGACCTCTGGAGATCATGTAGTGCAACCTCCCTGCTCAAGCAGGAACCTCTAGAGCACATTGTCCAGGATCACATCCAGACGGGTTTGGAATATCTCCAGGGAAGGAGACTCCACCCCCTCTCTGGGCAACCTGTTCCAATGCTCTGTCACTCTCACAGTGAAGAAGTTTTTTCTCAGGTTTAGGTGGAACTTCCTGTGGTTCAGTTTCTGCCCGTTGCCTCTTGTCCTGTTGCTGGGCACCACAGAGAAGAGACTGGCCTCATCCTCTTGACACTCCCCCTTCAGATACTTA